ACTGGCATGTTGCTAGAGATTGACAACACTGAGCTCTTGCACATGTTAGAATCTCATGAAGCCCTGCAAGCCAAGGTTGAAGAAGCAGTAGGTGTCCTCAAGGCACATCATGCTAAAGATACCTTGGCTCAAGAAGGACAGAACTGAAGATGAACAAGAACGATGATAGAGATAGACCAAACAAGTGGGACATGGATGTGACTTATTATGTTAGTATTTACTTTTACCGGATGTGACAATTTGTTCAAGTTCAAATAAAGTTCTCTTTAAAACTGGGACCTCTTGTGATTCTATATAAGATCACTCTACTGCATTGCACGAGACCTAAACTGGGCTAGACTGCATGGAGCAACTTCAGAATACCCGGCCAAGCACTTCATTTTAGTATAAATCAAGTGCTTTGAAAACGATGCAATAGAGTGCAAAGAATTAATCTGTGAAACACTAATTACTAAATAGTACAAAATAGTGCTAATTAAACAATAGGAAACGATGGAATTTGCATGAACCCTCAGAATATATTAGTACATAATATTACATATTATATCTGAAAACCAGGCCATTTTAGATTAAACTGTTTCGCTAGGATCAAATTTCGTTGAATTTTCTAATGGATTTGGCGATTCTATCCCCCACATAAACAAGCAGTGACRTCATAGTGAAATAGGACAATTCAAAATATAACCACACAGAGTAAAAGAAGTGTTATTTCTCAGTGATCAGGTAAAATTTCGAGGCTTCATTTCACGTTTCAATGATTTTATTGAATTTTTTTGAAGAATCCACATACATTTCCTTATGACATGACACCACAGAAACCAAGCTTGGGCTACCTGTGATTTTACAAATTTCAATTTTTATTTCGGGCTTCCTGTGTGATTCAACATGGCATGCAAAGGGTCAATTTTATTCTTTAGTAAGAATTTCGGTTTATTTCTCACTATTCTCTCAAAATGTTCAACAACTACAAAAGAGAAATGCCACTTCCAACAGCTTTAAAAGCATAGTTCCGGTATGTACACTGAATATTGCATAAAAATAGACGTAATTCGTCTCGGTATAACGGTTTTCCTCTTTGAAGACCTGACTTGAAAATACTTTACTTCTTGATATAAGACTACATGAAATGGCACTATTCCGGAATAAAGTTTAAGGTTAGGTTTTTATTTAGTTTGGGTAGAGATTAGGGTTAGGGTTTCAAGACTTTATAATCGATACTTAATAATCAAATAATGCCATTTCAAAATAAGATTATTGTTCGAATCGTATCTATACTCATTCAGTCTTCTCAACTGTTCAACAAAAAATGATACTCTAGGGAATGACATGTGGTGTGAAAACTTTGCACTACAATGATTTAGCTCTATTGCCTGGGGGGGGGGGGGGGGGGGGGGAGTACTCCTCTATATTTGCTATACAGGTACGTGCCGCCAAACAGGGTATGGTTTTCAGCGATTTCTATCAACTTATAAAATCTTTGACTCTCATTTTTGTTTTACTTCAAATGGTACTGGTCTGAAACACTGACAACCATGTTTGTTAACCAGAAAGAATTCTATCGACGACTTCTAAGGATGCAGAGAAATTAAGTCGCAATCAGAATTTTTTTCAACTTGGCATGGACATACCCCAACATATTCTTGTTCAAAAAATGAAATAAAAAAAGGGGGTCACCAAATTCGTTTCTTTGCTAAACGCTGAAGAAATATAGTATTCATCGAGGGGAAAAGGAGCGCTACAGAGTACTGCACATAGCAAAACTACAGTTTATCATGCACAGAAACTCCAGCCTCGGCTAGGAACTATTATTTGTGGTCACTGAATGGAACTGTAGAAAGGAATAGTGATCAAAGAAATGTTTCGAAAAAAAGTCAAAAAAATCAGAGAAATGTAGAAAACAAATTAATGGCCATCAAATGTTACTTTCTTTAACATTTCTAAATTAAAAGCATGGAAGTAAGAGTTAGTGAAGAGGATTTATCACAACGCATGCCCAGTGACAGTGCAGATGTCCCAGCAGCCTCAGAGAGTACCAGGCAGATCAAGCCAACTCAGACCTAGCTACAAGTTCTCTCAGACTGTGCGCAACCAGCCTTCTGCAGATGCACAGCAGGGCATTCAAGTTACGGTATGTACACTGAATATTGCATAGCAATAGACCTAATTCATCTCAGTGTGATATTTTCCCATTGGAAGATCACGTGTCCTTCTCTTGAGAATAAGATTCTTTGTTTGAATTGTATCCATATTCATGTGTCTTCTCAAGTGCAACTGTTAAACAAAGACATGGTAGTCTAGGGGTTGACACCAGGTCTGAAATGGAAAAAAAAATACGACATTTATTTATTTATTTGTTTGCTTATTTATTCATTTTTTACTTATTTGTTTGTTTATTTGTTTGTTTGTTTATTTATTTATTGGTATTTTTAATCAACTTATTTATCAATTATTACTACTAATATTCCTGTGTTATTGCGTAGGGCCAACAGCCTCTTCTCCCAAGTGTCCTGGCACAAGCAACTCCCCAAGAACAGAAACAGATGTTAGGTGAACGTCTGTTCCCCCTGATCCAAAACA